ACCAATGGTAAGCTGTTAGAACTGAAATGGTTGCTTACTGTGAAGATATAATGTGAAACTCTTCTTTTGGTTTATAAAATAGAGGGAATATTTATTACTTAATGATAAATATGGGAGTTTTCTGGGAAATTGAAATTGTCTTTTTTTTTTTTCATACCAATATTTGTTTGTTTTTTTGTACCCAACGTAGAATATTTTTTTATAAAAATGTGTTAAAATTATTTTCATTCACTTACATTATTTGCTAATAATAATAGTATTTTTCCCACAAAATACTTGCCTTGTTTTATTTTTGTTTAGTTTTTTTAAATTTTAAATTCACTCTTTTTTTTAAATTTATGTACCCGGTATGTACTTTTTAAAAGTGTTATAATTTTTAAAATATGGGTAAAAATGCTTGAAATTTTTATATGAGTTGTAAAAATGGATACTATTGATGGATATAATACAAATTTTAACTTAGGCCTCAACATGTATTTTTTTCCTTCTACCTGTTTGTGGTACGTTTTGATATGTGTGAAAATTTAGCATAACTAAAGACATAATCTTTTGGCAATAAATCAAAGCCATAATTAACTGTGATCTCGTAATTTGTATCAATGAATAAATCTTCAATTTTGAATCCAGTGATATATAACATGTTATTACTTCTGTATATGTCATTGAACAACCAGCCAGAGTGTAAAGGTACCTATTGAGGGAGAGAAAAAAATGGCAGAAAACCAAGAATATTTGAGAGTTAACCAAACATTCCAACAATTTTTCAAATGTAGAAATTATTTTCAATAAACACATTTTAAAAATATATTCTTTCTTTTTTTTTCCTAAAACAGTTATTCCTAAAAGGCAAGGGAATGCTACATGTTAGCTGATTCCTGTGTCTCAAGTGAGCTCTTGGCTTGATCAGCATATAGGCCTATCTATATCTGAAGTGGGTTCTTGGCTTGGTAATGGACAAGAATGGGTAATGTTAGGTCAGTTTTGATAATACCAAATTTTTTAAACTTGTTTTGATTTAAGTTTAAACAATATAGACTATTTAAATAGAAACATTATATATATTTTTTCTTTCTGTTTTTATAAACTTTTATTTATATATTCAATTGTAGTTTTTAAAAATTGTTTCTGGCTTCAACTATAGATGACACAAATTGCAACCATGGGCAGTTAAAATAATGGATGACCCATCAACAACAATTCTTAGATCTAATGGATGATCTATCAACAACAACTCTTAGATCCAACGGATGACCCGTAAACAACTATAGATCCAATGAATGACCCATAAACAACAACTCTAAGATCCAATGGTTGATCCATCAGCAACAATTCTTAGATTCAATGGATGACCCATCAGCAACAACTCTTAGATCCAATGGATGACTCCTCACAATTTGGTATTAGCTTAAATGTTTAAATCTAATCCTCTACAATATTTATGAAATAGTACTTTTTTTTTAAATTATTATTTATTGTTAAAAAATTGTTTGAAAATCTTAACATTGATTCGTACATGACAAAAAATTAAATATTTAACATATATTTATTTTAAAACATGTCATCGCTGTATCTTAATATCTGGTTTTGTCCCTATTCTTCAAGGTTTGAGAGCACCTGAAAAACACTAACATGATGTCCATTTAACTCTTAACGTTGCTGTGCTTTGTGGAATATTTTCGCATCTCAGTCACTTCTTGTTATTTTATGAGCACAAAATCTCAAGTAAACGGCCTTATAATATATTATAAAATTTATTCAATAACCCAAATTTTTATTTTACTAAACTTGTTCCTTAACTCCTGTTTTAGAAGTGATTTTTATGTAGTGAAAGAATTTGGGGAAAATCAAGTCTATTTTATTTAATGAATGTATACAACAAAAATGCAAGATATTGTTACAGTTAATTTTAAGACATAAAGAGTTACAAAATGATATAATATAATACCAGAACATTGTTAATGTTTTAAATATACTTACTCATTCAATTTTCACCTTGCCATATTTTCATGAATTTTTTGCATTTCAACATAAGTAAATAATAAGAAATGCTCTTCTCACATTAGGGTAGTTGAAATAATTCTCAGTTAACATTTTAAAATGTAAATAAGTTATTTATAATTTACCTAAGTTAAACACCGAATTTATAGTTTCACAGAAAACCCCACATAAACACACACACCCACAAATCTAATATACATGTGTCGATAGACAGGGCTCTACGTGTCTTCTACGGCACGCGTGCCATCGTTTTGCCACCGCTGGGGGGAGGCCTCAGGTATTCTCATACTGTGGTACAAGCGACAACTTTAACACATTACATCACTCCATGTGTTAGGCTCCACATCTTTGTAACAAACACATATATTGAGATATCCAGGCAGGACTGCTATTTTTAAAAAAACACACACCAAAGGTGGTAAATGAATTGAGCTGATAATTTTTTTTTTAAATAATAACTTATAGAAATTATTTCAGAAATTTGAGAACCACTGGCCTAGTTATAAATATATAAAAACACTGTTGTACTTAGTGTCCTGTGTGGTGACGCAGATTTAATGAATGTCGTAGATCAGTGGTTCTCAACCTTTCTAATGCCGCGACCCTTTAATACATTTCCTCATGTTGTGGCGACCCCCAACCACAATATTATTTTCGTTAATACTTTACAACTGTGGAGTATGTGTGTTTTCAGATGGTCTTAGGCGACCCCTGTGAAAGGGTCGTGCGACCCCCAAAGGGGTCGCGACCCACAGGTTGAGAACCCCTGTCGTAGATAATCCAGCCAGGCAGACTTCCTCGTGCAGGGATCCCCAATACCTTGTTTAAAAAGACCATTAATAAATTATGAACATCTCCTAAGAGAGTTTTAAAAAGTCGGCAAAGCCATAAACTGTAAGACAAAATTAAAATTCAATTTCGATTCCATGCCAACATTTCCACCCACTGTTTACTTTGGCAATTCACTGTTGTCCATTCCATTCCTGCCAAAGTGTAGAGAACTGCTCCCGTAAAACAGTGATTACTGACGGAATGCAAAATGTAATTTTAACCTCTATTTAACCTCCTAACCAACAGCCGCTTTTTTGGTGAACTTTTTATGACTGTTAAAAGGAATACATTTATCATTTATACGCAAATTTGGTGTATAGCTTGTTGACTTATAAATAGAATAAAAATAAAATCAGGGCCTTAACAATTACGTGCAAAGATGAGATTACATTGTCATTTATTTATTTTTAAGTACGAAGGGGACGCAATCCTTCTCAAAATAACAAGTGTTTCTTTTACATCCTCAAACCTCTTCTCCATCCCTTTTCTGTTTCTTGTGGTCGCCACGCACCCCTTACCCCTGACCCCCACCCCCAAATTTTTTTTTTTATTGTTACTAAAATGACCCCTTTCAAACCTATTAATTTACAACAAAATGCAGTATCATGTGGTTTTTATTTTTAGAATTAAATAAGTCAATGTGTAGGACCAAATTAATCGTGTGTATTAAATGTAATTGTTTTTTGATGAAGTAAGCATGGCATTATCATTACTACTACATTAGCCAGATGCATTGGGTTAGTTTTAGTTCAAAACGCTTTTTGACTGGCAAACATATCAACCTGTGTCAGCGCCTTTTCAAGAGTTAAAAAAAGAATTGTTTTTTTTTTAATTTTTTTTTTTTTTTTTTTTAATTTTTTTTTTTTTTTTTTTATAAATCAATCTAATGTAAAAACTATTAAAAACTGTTTATAGTTATTACTACATAACATTTTGTAGAGAGGAAAACTAAAATGGTGTTTTGGCCTTTACTGGTTTTACCGCAGTCTTAAAAATAGCAAACAGGATTTATTACATTTTTTTTAAAAATTAAAAAACAAATATTTAATTCAAAGAGCAAATGAAATGTAAACAAAGGGTGATATAAAAAAAAAAGACCTGCAGAAAGTTTTAAGTGGTGTCATTTGATTAATGAACATTTGAAAACATAAACAGGATTTATTACATTTTTTTTAAAAATTAAAAAACAAATATTTAATTCAAAGAGCAAATGAAATGTAAACAAAGGGTGATATAAAAAAAAAGACCTGCAGAAAGTTTTAAGTGGTGTCATTTGAGTAATGAACATTTGAAAACACAGTTATTTATTTATTTATTTTTTTAAGAAAAGTGTTGGCATTTATTTGAAAATTATTCTTAGAAAAAGTTTATCATCATTCTGTTAGACAAAATGTTTTTATTCTTGTTTTTCGTGTTTCAGTCACGACATGGCAACAAGGCCGAGGGACTACGGATTATCAGGGGAAATAACCAGGAAAGTAAGTACATGTACAACATTTGAGAATTAAGCAATTTACCCCCCCCCCCACAGCTTTTACTCACAGCTGTTTTTAATTATCTTACTTAGTATACGTTCTATTAGATATATAAACACACAAATGGCTTTTACTTATTTAATTTAAAGCTCTCAGTTTAATTTTAATTAATTTATAAAATATTAAATTTGATAAATTAAATATTAAGCTTATTGTAACATCTTAACATTCAATATTCAAACACTTGAAACTTAAAAAAAATATTTTAAATGACATGCCAGTTTTTTAGAATGATTTTGACCATGATTTCAGATAGCAAGGAAATATGAAATGGCGTTGGATTAAGAATCCAGGTTATGGATAGTCGCTGTCCTGGGGAGCCTATTTCAGTAAGTGCACTAGGTCATAACTTAGACTTTGTCACCAAATTATATAGCATATACTTATACACTGAAGCATGCTCGCCAATTTTAACAAATCACACCAAAATCGCCAGTATTGTTTTCTGTAGGCTTATGAACCATTAACATATAAAGATTATTGAATTTTTTAATCATGAGATCACTATTTTATCAGTGAAAAATGTTTTAGAACACATAATAAATGGTTATATTTTTTTTTTTAATATGTTATTTTTCAACACATTTAATCTTGGCCATAAACAATTACAATTTCTTATTCATTACACAGAATGAAGACAGCAGTGTGCCATTAGGAATGGACAAATTCCAGGCAGTTTTGAAAGATGGAAAAATCTTATGCACGTGAGTATAACAGTTAAATTATTTTTAGAGAAATGGTTTTGATTTTTTAAAATTATCTATCCCAGAAGTATAGAGTGAAGTTTGTAGATTTCCAAATTACCTTAAAAAACTTAATTTTAATTTTCAATATACCTTAGGAAAGTTGAAACAATAAGTTCTTAATTTTTTTCATCTAATCATACATTTTTGTTGACTTTTACGTAAAGAACACAAGTAGATTTAGATGCAAGAATATTGTCACTGGCATTTCCCCTCATCTTAATAACACTCTGAACTTTAAAATTTTATTTCTACTGTTAAACATTCCAACATTTTTCAAGCATCACAGTTAATTAACAGGTAAACCTAATTAGGAATTTAAAATGTGTCTTCTCGTTTGGAATATTTCAGTTTACTTATATTTAATTTGTTGTTTTAATTCACAGATTAATCAACAAAATAAAACCAGGGATAATCACCAAAAAGATCAACAACTCTAGATGCCATTCCTCCAGATGGAAAATACCAGCAATTTCTTGGAAGTCTGTGAAAAAAAGAAATCTCTAAGACTGACCTCTTTCAAACAGTTGATCTGTATGACAAAATCAACATGGTTCAAGTGGTCAATTGTATTTACGCTCTGGGCCGAAAGGTACAGTACTGTTTTGTTCTGTTACAAGATCAATACATTCTTCTGCATGTTCGGCATTTTTTTAGCTTTAATTTATCATAAAAATAAAATGTGCGAATAATCTTTTAATTTCTTTCTTTCTTTTCATACAGTTTTTATTATGACAATAAATAGATTTATGGAATAAATTTATCTATAGAGGTTAAATTATAATATAAGTAAGATTGTTGGTGAATATTTTATTTTTCTTGAATCAATCTACATGTATCATCATTATGTACATTTCTTTTCCCATGTGCTAAAATTGAAGTTCCTCATACCCTAACTCTGTTGAACACCATACATTTAAGACTCCTTCTCCCCATTCAAATGTATCATTTGAGAATTAATTGAAGCACATTAAAATGTACTGATTTGATGTGAAATTGAAATTTCGAAATATTTTTTTTTTAACATTTGTTCTATAAAGGATGGTCTAAACGAAATTGTGCATTTTATTCTGACAATAAACATTTTTAACCAACGGCACATGTTTCATTAGCAAATGTAATTTTTCCTTTATAATAATTTATCAACAGTTTGTTTGGTTTCATTGATAACTCAGTTTTTTAAATTTTTTTTCAAAGGCGCCCAAAGTTGGCTACCAAGGCCCTACACTAGGAGTTAAGGAGGCAGACCATAATCCACGCAACTTTGATGCAGAAACACTAAATGCTGGCCAAACAGTCATGGATCTCCAAATGGGATCCAACAAAGGAGCCAACCAGGCAGGAATGAGCTTTGGGAGCTCTCGAAGCATTAATGACCATGGCACGAATGGAACAGAATAGTCTTAGATTTATGAAAGTAATTTTTAAAATCTTACTGTAATAGATTGTGAGCTTAAAAAAAAATTAAATGTGAGAATGATTGCATAGGAAGAAAAATTTTGTCCAAGTATGATTTGTAAATGATCATGGGCCCATAAGATATAGAAGAAGAAGAAATGTCATGGCCAACCTATTTACTTTGTATGCTAAGACTACGAAAATCAGTAAATGTCATAACCAACCTATTTACTTTGTATGCTAAGACTAAGAAAATCGGTAAATGTTCTTTCTTTTCTTCATTGTACAAAAAATATTGCTCTAGTGTCTTTATTCAACTGGAAAACATATTGTAGCGCAACAAAAGCACTTTAGAAAATTCTGTGGTTTAAAAAAATAATAAAGATGTATGTCAAACACTGCACTGTAATGATTTTTATCTTTTTTCAAATTTTACTTTTGTGAATATATCTTTATTTTTGGATGGTCTCTACAGGAATAGTTTCTTCCTGAAGGCAATTGAAATTGATGTTAAGATAGGAACACTGAAAATGAGTCTTGAAGTAAATATGCTGTCTCTTAAAATAAAATATTATTTTATAATAAGTCTAATAATAAATTTAATTTTTAAAAATTGTTTCCTTTTTCTAGCTTCAACTTTAGATGACCTGATTAACATCCTAACATCCACGGGCAGCTACAACATAGATGCCCTATCAGCAACCACTATTAGATATAATGGATCACCCATCAACAACCACTTTTAGATCCAATTGATCAATGACTCATCACCATCTGATGTTAGCTTCAATATTTAATTCTTATTTTCTACAGTTTAAAAGAATTATATTAATTTAAATTTTTTATTTATTTACTTAAAAAACACTAAACAAATTATTGAAAATCTAAACATTGATTCCTACATGATAAAAGCTTCAATATTTATGGTAAATCATGTCATATCTTTAACCTAAATGTCTGGTTTTATTTATTCCTATTTTTCTAGGCTTGACAACATCTGAAAAATTACAACATGATGTCAATTTAACCCTAGAGGCTATTGTGCTGTGTGGAATATTTTCTCATCTTGCCTCTTGTTATTTTATGAGCACAAAACTCAAGTAAACTGCCTGATAGTATATTATACAATTTATTCAATAACCCAAATTTCTTATTTTACTTAACTGGTTCAGTAACTCCTGATTTGGCAGTCATTTTTATATACTAAAAGCATTTGTGAAAAATTAAATCTATTTTTTTTTAATGAATGTGTACAAAGAAAATGCAAGATATGTTCCAGTTAATTTTAAGACATAAAGAGGTTCAAAATAATGTAATATAATACATTTTTTATAGTGTAAATATACTTACAGTTACACATTTAATTTTTACCAATGTCATATTTTCATGAAATATCTGTATTTCAACAAATGATTTTGATGAAATACTCCTCTCATGTTATGGGAGCTGAAGAAATTCTTGGATAATATTTTAAAAGGTAAAACAGTTATTTATATTTTACCTATATTTAACAAATGTATATAGGTAGCCAATGATGGTTTTGATTGGTTGAGTTTTCAAATGTTTATCTTGAATGATTGACATGAATAATATAATAAAATAATTAGATTACTAATCCATTTGTTTTGGTTGATTTTATTTACTTTGTTCCCAGTTTTTGTGGTATGTTGGATATTTTAACAATCAAAACTTTGTCGGTCTTATGGAAAAATAAGACTTGGATTTTTTCATTCATTTTATTAATTGTTTTATTTGGTATGAATTTAAATTATTTTATTTTTTACATTAGGGTTGTGTGCATTCAATAACTTTAAATGCTGCATTCATTAATCAAGCAAAGCAGTGTGTTTAAGACTAAGTTAAGGGACAAAAAAAATAGGAACATTTGAATGTTTAATTAGTCACAAGCTTTTAAGCTACTTATATGTTATATCTATACTTAATTATATATAAATTCATGTTAACATCCTACTGAGAAGTCATTCTCCTCCAATATCTTTTGAAGTTTAATGTCAGTGGTAATAAACTTTTATTGTAAGACATAATCCACTTGATAAAAATCTGTTTTTGGTGACCTTTCGCATTAATTCATGTAAAGTTTTCTAATGCTGTAAGAAGTGTATGAAGCTCACCCCTGCTGCTATACCCAGCTGGAAAAATTAAAATCTTGTTAAGGAGATAAACCTAGACAAACAACATAAACTCACTGTTTATTCATGGAATATTACTAATAAATATAGTTGAGAAACTAATATTACCTATTATTGAGCGCATGAGAGAAATATCAAACCAATTATTGTACACATGGTTTAATGGCGGGACCTAAGAATATAATAAATTTTTAAAACAACACTATGATATAAGGATCATATTTCTTTTAAAAAAAGATTCTGTTTTCTAATTTTACTGTTATTTCAAGTTAAAACTATTAATTTATTAAATACAAAATATTAGTAGAACAATATCTCAAACATAATTGACATAAATTGTCACGATTTTAAACAAAATTGTAAAAAGAGCATAATTCAATAAAAATTGTAAATTTGTGCCCTTACCATTGATTTAAATCTGGGTTATTTAAAATCTAAAGAAAATTCATATTTTAAATTAATGTTTTTTCAAAAGTATGGTCAAAGAGAGATAACCTAGAAAAAGAATATTTGACGTAAATTATTTAACGGTCAAAGGGAAATAAGCTAACCCAGAAAATTCAACTTTAAAAAATATAATAAATGGGGCATAACTGTTACAATCTTAGTTTTTTTTTTTTAAATATACAGGATAGCCTCCCTTTGACCATAAGAATTCAATAAAATATAGGTAGGTTTTTTTAAATTACACGGTAGTTTCCTTTTTACCGTTAGAAATGAAAAAGGTGAATTAATTCCTGCGGGCACTTTCGTAAATTTTAAAATGAAATTATTAGTCTTTCCATTAAATTTTATTACAAAATATATTTTCCGGGCAAACATAATTTTTAACCAGAGGATAAATCAGTTCGGGTGAACGAGACCAAGTTTATGTAATGAGGCTCTTTAGTTCTAAATCAATGACGTTATTGGATATCAATCATTTCAATTTTGTGATGATTAAAAACCAGGGGAAATAAAAAAGGCATTAATAAAGAAAGATAACTTAAACGTATTTTTAATTAACTTGATATGTATATTTATTAGAGAGACATACGTAATTAACATATTATGACTTAATTTTAATGACCATATACCTGTTTAAAACGATAAATATATATAATACTCATAAATATGCTTTTGTATATTTTATTTGAGCAATTCAAATTGGGATATGTAAATTTACATACACCTATCATAAATGTCTAGCTGTAATCATAACTTCAATGATCCTGGGGGTTGGTAGGTCGGGGAGGTAAGTACGAGGTGGCCCAAAAAAACAAATTAACCCGAATCCCATCACACTTAAATAAAACGCATCAATGCGACCCAGGGGGAAAGAAGACCCCCGGTAAAAAGAAGAACATTCGTCATGATGAAGAAATCTCGACAGAGAAAGCGAAAGAAAATATCAGACTAAGGGGAGACAACCCAAACTCACATTGCAAACCAAGGGAAGCAACCCACCCCTACAAAAAATGACATGCACTCCTTTAAAACAAAGCAAAATTTTCAGATTTTAAACACCTTTTATTTTCCTTTTTACAATTTATAAACAAAGTAACAACAGTCATAAAATTATATAAAACAGTACCCTGATTATTTCCCTTGCATAATGATGAGACCAGCTTAACACCACCCCCCCCTCCCCCCATTTCTCTCAAATTAATCATTAATGAACACAAACCCACAAGTGTAATCCATGCTGGAAAACCATGGCTGCTAGAAGAAACAGGCTGTCAAACTCAAAAACACATTTCAAATTAACTAACAATTCAAATATGCCTAATAAAATAAGATAGTGAACACAACACAAAGAAAATGAAGTGTGACCAAGCAGGGAATGAAATAAACACAGAATAGAGTGCCACATGCACTAGTGACACTGATGGTGGCACTGTCAAATTAAAGGACTTGGTATTGACATTTGCTATTTCATCACTGGCCACCACCAATACAAAGAAATTTTAAAATATGTGTGCAGTTACATTTACTAAGCTACACATCTGCATGTAAAATGGAATAAATCACAGCATGCTAAATGGAATAAATCACATAACATGTTAAATTGAATAAATCACAAATGTTAAATATTGCCATATTTATCCGAGATAACATTATCTGATAGTGTTTTTAAAATTTCCTTCAGCTTAGAAATTTAATTATACAGACATATAAATTTATTGAATAGAAACCATGAAAGAGAAAAGGAGGGTGTTTGCATTGTATTCATTTTTTTCTTCATAATGGTATTTAAAATCATCATATCACATAACTATTTTTTCTGCGCATATAATATAATATCATTAATATCATAAAATTAAATTTGACTTCGCAATAAAATTTCTTCAATGTTGCCAATATGTATGAAAGGTCAGATATCTTTAACAAATAATAAAAGTCTATGGAAATATTTTTTTAAATTGTCATTTCAATAGTATTTGTATGAATAAAACCATTTTTTTCATGTAAACCAAACGAGTGTTAAGTTAAATTCACAACCAGGCATGAAAAGAAAGAAACAAATAACAACATATTCCTTTGAATGAAAATGTTAACTGCACATACTAGTGTACAACACAATGCAAGTGGGCAACACAATGCAAGTGGACAACTCAATGCAAGTGTCCACTCACACCCCTAGTCCAAAGTTTGACTTTTGGAATGTTTGTTTTGTAAGCTTTGATTTTATTTAATTTTTTTAAAGTTTATAATTATAGGTTGTCTTTTTATGAACGTACAGGGCCTAAGATCGAAAACAGGTCAAGAGAGAAGAAAAACACAGGTGGAGAGCACAATCACTGAACAACAGCCCTACCCTGGAAGACCACTATCACATAAAAATGGAAGCTAGAAACCAAATGCCTATGAGGC